AAAAATACTGTCTAAGGTCTGTAGCTAAAGGTCTACGCTGCAAGATGGAAGAATCTTCTACCCAAAAAGATGGCAGATGCAGCAGATGTCAACGGATTTAAAACTGGAGTTGATGTGACTCCTTGTAGACTTGAGTGTCTAGAGCGTCCCTCCTTCACCATGCGTAAGAATTTTCACAAAAATACTGTCTAAGGTCTGTAGCTAAAGGTCTACTAAGCTGTAAGATAGAAGAATCATATAGCCAAAAACATGGCAGATGCAGCAGATATCAACGGATTTAAAACTGGAGTTATTAGTTTAATAATTAACCACATGCAAAGCTTTGTGAATTGCAACAACTATAATTTATTATCCAAGCTCTAAATAATCGCTACTACGAGTACCTATTCATAAAATGTTTTTCCAATCGCTCAAGCTCCCGAGGATCTACCGATAGATCGGGTGACGTAATCTTGAAATTCTTTTAGCCGGCGCGGAACTTCCGGAAGGTCGGGTGACGCCACGCCTCTTTGAACCGTGTTTACTTTGGTAGTTAATTATAAATTTATTCGATTCTAAAATATATTCCAAAAATTTTGAAAGTTGTTTTAATTTGTATCACTTGGATATGATTTGTATTAGAAAGTGCTGTGATTGTGACGCTTGAACGGAAGGAAGTCAACCTAACCTAACCAACTGCGTATTTCTATACTGTGTAGCCGCGAGAGCTCTTTGGCGCGCTGTCTTCGGCGAAGTATTGCGCGCGCAGATTTTGACAGCGCGAAATACCTACTTTAGCAGAAATACCAAGCCTTAACGGAAAGGTTTTTACCCCAAAAATGTGTCTTTAGAAGGATCCAGAGTCACTTCTTCAAAAAATAGGTAGTTACGCTAGAGCCAACTTTTATGGCTATAAAACTGTTAAGTTGGGATTAATCGCTATCCATCTGTTAAAGAGGACACGTGAGATCATTATTTGGTTTTATAACCATAAAAATTGGTCTAATTGATCCCATAGGTGGGCCCAAAGTGAGNCAAACCTTTTATTGGCAGTGATAATTACCTATTATTGGCACTGTTCTCGCAAGACTGAAAAATAGCTGCTAGGTCTTATGTAGAGGTTTTAAAGAGATTCATGATAGAAATAAACAAAATAAAATCCTTTGTTATAAGAAAAGTAACTTTTATTTGTATAGGAACATACCATATCAGTTCAAACGCTTATATTTAAATATGGTTTTAAACTTTCCATAAACACTTTTATCAAATCTTCTTTTCTCTTCGGAAATACTTTTTTGCTACTGATTTTTATTTTATCCAATCAACAAAAAGCTGTTCTTTCTCGTCAGTTAAAATTGTGAACGGACCGGGCTTAGAGCGATGATCAGGATGTTTCAATCTGAATTGTATAGTAGACCGTGGTACCACTTTCAAAGCCTTTCAAAGGCTTATTCCACTAATCCCGGGGATTAGTGAACTTTTTATTCATTAATCCCCGCTAACGCCAATGGAGCTTATAATGGGGATTAATGAACTTTTTAGTTTATTTTATTTTTCTTTATTCAGAAAACTACGTTAAAAATAAAATACTAATGTATGAATCATGTACCTTCTATTTATTATTGGATAAGAACTCACTTATTGATTTGATTGATGATGAAATTGAAGCCTGATTACAAAGATATTAATTTACACCATTTTTATCTTGTTCATCTTGGCCAGGCCTGGCTCACTCCGCGCGGTACATCCGATAATTACCTACAGCGAAGCGCCCCGCCGGTGGGTATTATATCAGTCGAGTGTCACGCGCGCGCCCGTCAGGACGCTGGCGTGCGTTGTAGTATGATTATAATTCTATGATCGAAGTATTATTTAAAAATGGACATAAAGAGAAAGAAATATTGTGCGGCGTTCGGGTGTTTAAATTCGAAAAGAAATCTACCGGATTTATCTTTTTTTTTCGCTTCCCGAAGATGTTGAAAGGTATGTTGGCCATGTAGGTAATCAATAATTCTTAGGATAGTACAGGAACCTAACCTACTATGACTACTGCTCAGAATGCGTTCGTTCATTTCAGCCAAATGACGTCCACTGCTGGACAAAGGCCTCCTCCAAGGTTTTCCATAATGAATGCATACTTACCTACATACGTACCTCATTACAAATAAGTAGATTAATTATTTTTTCACTAGACAGCAACCCTAACAGCGTAAGAAGAGTTCAGAGGCACGCGATAGAAAGAGACAAAACTTGTAGGTGAATAAAATTGTAGGTACGTAGTGCTGTGCGAGCTGAATAAGGTAAGTGTTAATTTTTTTAAGTATTGTATCAGTCTTAAATTTAATTTGATTTGATAATAAAAATAATAAGTGAGTTCTTATCTAGTAATAAATAGAAGGTACCTGATTCTTACATGAGTATTTTATTTTTAACGTACTGGGGATTAATTAACTTTTTAGTTCATTAATCCCCATTGTAAACTCCATTGGCGTTAACGGGAATTAATGAACAAAAAGTTCACTAATCCCCGTTGACGGGGATTGTCAACGGGGATTAGTGGAATAAGACTTTGAAAGGCTTTGAAAGTGGCTGAAAAGATAATATTTTTTATTGGCACCTTTTTAACCAATGTTTGACACCCGTGCCAATAAATGGTTTTTATATAATTGGCAGTGGGCCAACATTTGGATTGGTGTATCCAAAACGTTAAAAAATATTTTAAATGCAATTTAAACTAAATTTTGAGAAAAACAAGGTATAATTTTTAATAAACTCAAATTATTTTAAATACCCTTTTATTGGCATGTGTGCCAATAAAATGGATAAACAGATTTTACGCATACCAAATGTTGGCACACCACAAATAATTAAAAGTTGGCGGTAAAATTATAAAATAATGTTTTAAAAAGGCAGTTAATATATTCAATAATAAGACAAAATGATTACGTATAGGGACAACAAAATAGATTTGCATTTTTTTAAAAGATTATGATAGCTCTTACCTTAGTAAAAAACGAATATTTCGTTTGTTTTTTTCGCACAGGTCGCGGTTTGTCAAACAAATGGTTGATGCGCCGCGATGTTTGAAAAAATAAAAAACGTGTGTAGCCAGTTGAGTAATAAATGATATTTATGTACAATCTCTACTAAAAAATATAAGGTTTGGCTACAAAAAACCTTAATTTTCTTAAAAAACTGGAGCATGCCAATAAATTGGTAGAGTGCCAATGATTGGGTGGTTTACCCTACCTAACTACGGGTATTAGCAATATCGCTGTTCATATGCGTGTGTGTACAAAAGACAGAAATATTAATAGAATGTTATAAAGAGTCATATTAATTTTCTCGGAAAACATTATACCTAAGTATCACATTACTCAGTTCACAAGACCTTTCCTTCTCACTCCTTATTTTAACCACTGCATCTCCTGTATAGCCAGGATCTACAACAGTCAACTAAACCACAACTAGCAAAAATTGCTGGGAGTCATAAAATAATTCGAAGTTTGTTTTCCTAACAAAAAAAACTGTCACTTTTTCTTATTCCAGGTTACGGCAAGTTCAACCTCCTGACCTTCATCGTCTGCAGCAGCATCGTGCTTAGCATGGACTTCGAGATCTTCTCGGTGGGCTACCTGGTGCCGGCCAGCGCCTGCGAGCTCGGCACCACGAGCGCACAGCAGGGACTCATGGCTGCGACGCCGGTTGTAGGTAAGTTTGATAACAATTTTATTGAATTTCGGGTAAGGATATGTTCGTAAAAAATAAACGCCCTTAGTGCATCATAATTGATAACATGTTTCTTATTTGACATTGGCAAAAGAACTAATCGGAATACCAGGACAGTGGTGATATACGAATACGAGCAACCTCTTAATACATTATATTGTAAGATCGCACTTTCTATCAGAAGGTATTGTCTTTCTTCACAATAATGCCAAATGTCACTAGACTTAACATCCCGTCGTCTGCTTTATTTAATCTTATAATACCAAAGTTCAGCCAAACCAACGCGATCAAACGCGATCAGCTGGCGTGTGACGATGGCGATCAGACTTAAATGTATTGATTGATCGTCATCGCGCTGCATGCCGGCTGATCGGCATTAGGGTTTAACATAGGCCTTTCAGATTCAAAGATTTACTTTACAAATACTTCGACCAATCTCATTCTGCCTATCAGGTATAATCGCGACGTCCCACATCTGGGGCTACCTGGCCGACACGCGCGGCCGCAAGAAGGTGCTATGCTTCTCCATGACGCTGAGCTTCGTGGCCAGTACTGCTGCTGCCTTCGCCCCGGATTGGATCACCTTCAGCGTGTTCAAGTTGATTTCTTCCACCTCGTAAGTATTTGTAAATGTTACAATAGATTGGATGCTAGAATCGAATGAGTGTTCTCACTTTTGGTCCTCCCTCAATTGACAAAGACTTCATGGTGATGGTGGTCATTCACTATCATGAACCTTTTGGTTTCTATTTTGAACAAAATTGTTTACAACTCGGCGACAACTTTATCGCTTGTTTGATATATCGTATTTATTTAAAGTGATTGCAATTTGGAGATCCATCTAGCAAACATGTTATTTTTTCTCTAAACCGTCTTCCATTAAAACTTTAACTTTCATTTAGTTTTTTTCTTCCAGAGTAGCGGGTGCCTTTGCTCTTGCGTTCACTTTGCTGAGCGAGTGCAACCCTGAAGCAAAGCGTGCTTTCTTGCTGGTACTCACTAGCACTATTTTCCTTTGCTCTAGTGGAATCATGGCAGGTACAAAAATCACCTTTCGTTTTATTTTGAACCATTAATATTTCATGAGAACCATAAAGATATTTTGTGAAAAGACCCTTTTCTAGGTCTTAATCTTCCTTCCCACTAATACATTGACTTTTAATTCTGCAGTGATAGCTTTGCCGGTCTTGCCTCTCAAGTTCTCATACTACATACCAGCCCTCGGCATCCACTTCAACTCCTGGCGACTTCTGAACCTGATCTACGGTTTTCCTAGCGCCATCAGCGCTTTCGGCCTTCTGTTTGCCTTAGAGAGTCCTAAGTTCTTATTGAGCGTGGGACAAGAGGACAAAGCATTGGATGTGTTGAGGACAATGTTTGTCATCAATAACAGAAAAAGCGGAGACGAATATCCGGTGAGAAAAATGAACTAAAGTCTTTCTAAAGAAAGATCTTGAAATTATTTGGTAAATGAAGAAGGCTAAATACGTATTTTGTATTTTTCCCAAAGATCAAGTCATTGGCACTCAACGAAGAGGAGGCGCCGACGGGAGTGACGGGTCTCTGGTCATCCATAGTCGCGCAGACGATACCACTGTTCAAGCCGCCCCTCCTGAAGAAGACTGTCCGTCATCTTCGTCATCACTTATCTTAGGTACTATATTTTCAAAATTACCCTTTGCATTCTGGACAACTGCTGCCTTATGATTAATATTACGTCTTTTTAGAATTTCCTCATTACCAGGAGAATACTGTTTGATTTTCCAGCATAAACCCGTACGTGATGTGGATGCCGTACATCGTAGATGGGTTCATGCGGTCAGTGCGGCGCGGGGAGGCCAATCTGACGTTTTGTGAACGCATCCGCGCCACTCACCATCTCAGTCACATGGACCAGGTAGTCTTATGACCTATAGGGTAACACTAACTTTGGTAAACAAGGTAGTCTTCTATTCTTCGTGAAAGTGAAACTAACTGTAGTATTTAGACTCATAAAATCTTAATGTATTCATAGAAATCTCAAGAAAACTGGTGACTCGTTCGTTCGTTCGTTTTAGCCCAAAGGCGTACACTGCTGGACAATGGCCTCCTCAAAGGTTGTCCACAAAGACCGGCCTTGTGCCGCTCGCATCCAGGCACCTCCGGCGACACTCAACAGTTCGTCGGTCCACCAAGTGGGAAGGCCTGCCCACACTACGTCTTCCAGCTCGTGACTCATTATTGATTTATTATTTACCATATTTTAGGTTGTTTGTTTATGTTACAGCTAGAAAATCAATGTGCTATGAATGAGTTTGCGATGACGATGGTCTTTGGTATCGGCGTAATTTTGGCAATTGGGAACACAATTGCTACCATCCTTGTCAACTATGTGAAGAAGAAGACAATGCTCATCGTTATACA